GCTCAAGCAGGATCAGGATCACAGTGGGCCCCAGAGAAGGCGCGACCAGGGATAGAACACAGGTCAAAGGAAAGGGTATTAGGAAACTGGAAATCTTACTGATTGGGGAAAGAAAACCCATGAAAACAATTCAGGAAGATTATGTGACCTAGCCTTTTGTCTTTGTCCACTCTTTTTTTCATAATCTCGTCCACTCTCAGAGCTTCGTCCAACAATCCTGCTTTCCTGCCTCTCTGGCTCACTTTTGCCCCTCCACTGCTGTCCCATTTCCACATTTAATTTTTCTGAAGGTAAAAATGGCCTAATTCATTTTTGCCCACCATCAGTATTTAGCACATTACTTAAGTATTTTTAAATGAAAAAGCAAACTAAGTATTTTTCTCTATTGCCCCCACAGCTGGGGAGAAAGCTGGGGAATCAAAGGCTATGTCCTCATGGCCCGGAATAAGAACAACGCCTGTGGCATTGCCAGCCTGGCCAGCTTCCCCAAGATGTGATTCCAGCCAGCAAACCCAAGCCCACTCTTCCATTCTTCAGTGATGGTGTGTTGGACTAATGTACCCTGGAAAGAAGTTGCTGTGTCCTTTCTTGAAGCAGATGTGTCAGCTTTCCCTACAGGTGACACTCCTACAACTTCCTTCTCTCCACCCTTCGCCTTTGTTTCTTTCAGTGTGACCATATTAGGGGTGTATGCTCTTCTGCTATGAGATGTGACAAGGCCTGTCCTGCCTGTGTTGTCCTGAGGCCAATGCCATGTAGGTAGTTAAAACCTAGAGAACTTGACATAGGCTAGATTCTCCTGGGACTAGTAAGTCTGAAGAACCTTGGAGGACTACAGTGACTTGACTTCTCGGTTTTCCACGTACCCTTCTTATATGTCATCAAAGTAAAAATTCTTATGTTTTTCATCTCAGTTCATATGTCTATTAATAAACGTTTGGGACAAGTCTACATGATACTAGAAATGTGTTTTCTTTTTCTCCCTTTGCATTTTTTGGGGAAATAAACCAGGTGTGTATCTCTCATCTTCAGTGTAATAAATAGCTATTTCATTCACATTCATTT